ACTGCAACCTCCATCTCCTGGTTCAAGTGATTCTTCTGCCTCAGCTTCACTAGTAACTGGGACTACAAGCACATACCATCACTCCCAGCTAATTTTTGTATTTTTTGTAGAGACAGGGTTTCACCATGTTAACCAGGCTGGTTTCAAACTCCCAACCTCAAATGATCCAGCCACCTCAGCCTCCCAAAGTGCTGGGATTATAGCCATGAGCCTCTGCACTGGGTGGTGTTTTAAGAACTGATGTAGGTATGGAAATGGTTGAGGCTGGCCCAAGGTGCTAGAATCTCAGTCCCAGGAAAGTGTGGCTCAGCAAGGAAGGGAAGATTGATGACTTGTAAACAGTTTGAATTGTTCTGGTGGTTCTCCCTGTCACCCCATCCACACTCACTGTGGGCTAGTACCTGTGACAGATGCTGGGGATCCAAAAATCACTAGTAAGACACAGATCTGCCCTACAAGACTTTCTGAGCTCTGACAATATCAATGGAGTGGTCTTTTAAATCTTAAATATTATGTGATGAAATCAGTATCTTTGACAAGAGGCCTTTTGGGAAAGCACATTGGAAGATTTGTGTTGGGGTTTGAGGGGACTAAAAAATAATGCCCATCTTCACCACCCAAATTTGAAAGTAATTGATAGATAAGCAGATAGGCTGATGGCAATTATAACACAGTTTGAGCTGTTTGGACAGCATGGCTTAGGTTCAGAGATGAATGGACTTGTCTAGGACACTGTTCTGCCTCCCCATCTCCGAGTCTGGCATTGCTCATCCAGTTGGAGATTCAGTAGACCATTTGAGTATACCGAATGCACACATTAACCAAGGATTGCTGCTCTCTCTACGCTGAGACAAAAAGGGAAGAAAGTAATCAGTTCCCTAGTGCTCACAATCTTTTAATAGTTTAGTCTTACCCAGTTCAGAAACGAGCCAATTGCTGTCACCCCAAATCAGGTTTCACACTCATCAGTGGGGAAAATTAAGTAATGGATGGGGTAGAGGTTATGAGTGTTCCTACAGATGAAACTTTCTTCCAATGGAAAACAAGAGGAGTAGGGAAATAAATGTTCATTCTTAATTTTCCCCTACCTTTTGATCTTAATCATTAATTTTATGGTCAATCGGGGTTTATGTATCACCCCTTGGAGAGGAGAGTAGCAGCTACGAGCGAAGTCTTGCTCCTACCTTTTGAGATTGCTTCAGTACTGTGCCTTTTTGACTTTTTTTTTTTTTTTTTTTTTTTTTTTTTTGAGATGGTGTCTCGCCCTGTCACCAGGCCGGAGTACAGTGGCGTGATCTAAGCTCACTGCAACCTCTGCCTCCCGGGTTCAGGAGATTCTCCGGCCTCAGCCAGCTGAGTAGCTGGGATTACAGGTACCTGCCACCACACCTGGCTAATTTTTGTATTTTTAGCAGATATGAGGTTTCACCACGTTGGCCAGGATGGTCTTGATCCACCTGCCTTGGTGCCCCGAAGTGCCGGGATTACAGGCATGAGCCACCATGCCTGGCCACCTTTTTGGCTTCTTTTAAGAATGTTGGTGAAGAGCGTTAATTTTGTAGCCAGAGGTTCTTATTTTAGATAAATATATTTTAATCATCATGTAAATTAACTCCAAGACCATTATGTGTCAACATAAAAACATTTAGCTGCTAGGCCTTTACTTGGGTTATCATTTTTTCTAGTTGGCTCAGGGAAGCTCAGCTCTGTTTATTGTAGTACCTTAGTGACCATAGTTCTGTAAGGGGTAGAAGGTAAATGCCTTGCCCACTGCGGGCTGGTAATATAAAAATGTTAAAAGAAAAACTTTAGACAAATTAAATTTCACAGTTTATCTGAACAAAGAACAATTTATGAATTAAGCAGCACTCGGAACCAGATGAGGTGCAAATAATTCTGCTTAGCATTGTTAGTAGGAAGGTCCTATAGGCTGAACAGAGAAGCAAAATAGAGAAATCACCTGATTGGCTATAGCTAAGTGTCTGCCTTAATTGGGCTTGGTGTGTTAAGTTGGCTTCCTATGATTGGCAGAAACCTGGCTGCTTGTGATTGGATGAAACCTGGCTGCTTGTGGTCAGATGAAACAGAACTATTTATTATACTTCTTTTTTTTTTTTTTTTTTTTTTTTTTGAGACTGAGTTTCGCCCTTGTTACCCAGGCTGGACTGCAATGGCGCGATCTCGGCTCACCGCAACCTCCGCCTCCTGGGCTCAGGCAATTCTCCTGCCTCAGCCTCCTGAATAGCTGGGATTACAGGCACGTGCCACCATGCCCAGCTAATTTTTTGCACTTTTAGTAGAGACGGGGTTTCACCATGTTGACCAGGATGCTCTCGATCTCTCGACCTCGTGATCCACCTGCCTCGGCCTCCCAAAGTGCTGGGATTACAGGCTTGAGCCACCGCGCCCGGCTATTTATTATACTTCTAAGTTTCAGTTTGCTTATGTATAAAGTTAGGCTGCAGTTTGTTATATAAAAACTCAAAGTACAAAGACCTTCTTGCTTATTTATCAGAAATAAGCAGACCACAGTCCCCTGATGAGGCATTTGAAAGAAAATTAATCAATCTCTCTGATTTCCCAGCTTTTTTTTTTTTTTTTTTTTGAGATGGAGTCTCATTCTGTCACCCAGGTTGGAGTGCAGTGGCGTGATCTTGGCTCACTGCAACCTCCACCTCCTGGGTTCAAGCAATTCTCCTGCCTCAGTCTCCTGATTAGCTGGGATTACAGATACATGCCACCATGCCTGGCTAATTTTTTGTATTTTTAGTAGAGACAGGATTTCACATTTTGGTCAGGTTGGTCTTCAACTCCTGACCTTGTGATCCACTGCATCCATTTCCCAAAGTGCTGGGATTACAGGCATGAGCCACCATGTCCAGCCCCAGCTTTTGTATAGACGTAGTGTTCCTTCTTGGCCTCCTGGGGCAAATAAGACCAGGAGCATTTACAGAGGGACAAAGGCAACCTTTCCCTAAAGTAATCCACAGATCCCAACTGGCCCGCTAGTCCCAGTAAACAGCACACTCCATCCTCACCATGGAACTCAGAGACTGGCCTCCAAGGCCATACTCAAATCTCAGCATCAGAATAGAAACCAAGTCTGGCCTTGCAGTCTGCTGCTTATAAGACCCTAGCGGCTGATTAGGAGATGATAGATTAAAGCTGGAGTAAAGCTGAGGTTGTCATCTTTCCTAATCCACTACTCCTTGTTCTTGAGCTGCTTTAATGGAGAATCCTCAGCCAAATGTAATTTAAAGTTGATTTAGTGCCTTCTTAAAGGGTAAAGCTCACAAGCTCCAGAAGAAACTTCCAAAAATAACTTATACAAAAATTCTCAGTGTAATTTCAGCCCAGCTTGGGTTAAAATCTGAATACTGTAGTTAAGTTTAGTATTTAATTTAGAAAAGATAGAAGTGTGAGACTACAGGGAGTATCTTTTAAGAAATTACACTGGAGAGGCTGAGGCGGGCGGATCACGAGGTCAAGAGATCGAGACCATGTTGAAACCCCATTTCTACTAAAAAATACAAAAACTAGCTGGGCGTGGTGGCATGCTCCTGTAGTCCCAACTACTTGGGATGCTGAGGCAGGAGAATCTCTTGAACCCAGGAGGAGGAGGTTTCAGTGAGCCGAGATCGCGCCACTGCACTCCACCCTGGCGCTTGGCAACACAGCAACACTCTGTCTCAAAAAAAAAATTACACTGGCTGGGTGGCTGGGCGTGGTGGCTCACTCCTGTAATCCCAGGTTTTTGGGAGGCCAAGATGGGCAGATCACTTGAGGCCAGGAATTTGAGACTAGCCTGGCCAACATGGTGAAACCCTGTCTGTACTAAAAAAAAAAAAAATGCAAAAATTAGCCAGGCGTGGTGGCACCTGCCTGTAGTCCCAGCTAACTCGGGAGGCTGAGGCAGAAGAATGGATTGAACCCAGAATGCGGAGGTTGCAGTGAGCCAAGATAGTGCTACTGCTGTGCTCCAGCCTTGGTGACAGAGCGAGATACCCTCTCAAAAAAAAAAAAGAAAGAAAAGGAAAGAAATTACACTTACATTAAGAGCAGGCTTAAGGGGAAAGGGAGGGAGTAAAAAGGAAATTTCTATTGAATGCTACAAGGCTCAAAGTACTAGATGCTATTTTATTTAATGCTGAGAATAGTAGTATAAAAAACTATTGTTGTCTCCATTTTAAGGTGGAGATACAATAAACCGATGCTTAGTTTACATTATTTGCTGCAATTTGCACCTATCTTGCCCTATTCCAAGGCCCACACTCATTTCTCTTACACTATCAAGAGAAACTAGCATCATTACTCATACTAATATTAGGTATATTTTCTAATTCTTCTTATTTTTATTGTTAGTACTGAAAAAGAACTTGTGTTTTACGTTCTGAGTTGGCAGTGTAGTTAGGGAAACTGTTCTGCTTTGCAGTAAGTCTGGATGGAGAAGACACAGGGAAAACATATGACAACAACCAGAAAGGAATGAAGCGGAACAGAGAAAGCCGACTTCATAACTTGGAGCTGCAGCAGCTTCTCCTTTTACCAGACAGCAACCAGAAGAAAGAGAACCTGGTAGGTCCCTCCTCTACCTCCTACAGACCTGAGCCCAACACCTTATCTCAAAGCTTTTCTCTCTCTCTTCTCTCATTCAGTCTCCATTTTTCTCTCCTTGTCATTCTTTCTGAGAGTCCAAACCTCCCTCTCGTTGTGAAGAGGCTCCTGAATAGTACTGACGATAGTGCATAAGAAAGAAAATCTCAAGTCTGAAGTAAAATCAAGGAACCTAAACCAGTTTATCTCCTCACCCTTAAATATTCCAAAAGACCCCCAAAGCCTTTTAACTTAAATGCCTTTAATTCAACCTCCTCTTCAAGTAGTAACAGTCAAGACTGAAAATCTCTTTCCTCACTCAGTTTTCTCTTTCAGTTATTGCAATTACAAAATTATTGCTTTTTACCATTTTCACATAAGTTCTATGAATAAAATGTTAAGTAAGCTTTTATTAGGTAATTCTGAAATTTATTACTTCCAAAATTATTTTTATGTGAAATATATTTCTGAATTCCAAACAAATGGATTTCAAATAAACTTTCAAAATGCAACTTTTGTTTCTAAGTTGAATTCTGCCTTTATACAGTTTGAGTTAATGAGAAACAGTAAAATAACAATGTTTTAAAATGTTTAATACCTTGCAGGATTTGCTACCAAAATTATTTAGATTAACTATAGTTATTATTTTATTTAACAATTCAGAAAAAAAGGTTAAAGTTTGCAAAAACACATTGTATAGTAATGAAGTTCCAACATCTAACAACAAGAAAAAACTATTTAAAGTTTTACAAAACTTTTTTTAGTTGCATAAATTACTAATGTAATACTATTGATGATGATTGGCTGAAATGCTGATATACAGTTAACTCCACATTTATTAAATTAATGGTACATTTATCTTATTTGATATCAATTATAGAACAAGGGTATTGATGTTATTTAGCTTTCAACAGCGCATTTCCAGAGTCAGTCTATGCCGTTCTTGGTCATGAGTCAGACTTTAGTATAGGAAGGCTGATGGTTGAGCAATCTAACTGAGATAATAGAAAGTAATGAACCAGATCCCCTTGGTAATAATTATTTTCTAATTTTGTCCTGTTATTTACTAAAACTGTTTATTGTTCTTGAATAGACCACTGCTGGCTTGTAATTCTAATTTCTATGTTTTGCTTTCTTATATAATCATTTAGGACATTACTATCTGGAGAAGAATTTCTTTTATAATTTTGGAATTTGGATATTTGCTTCTTGTTACTCAAATATTGCTGCATACATGGTATTTTATGAGGCATTTAAAATTTCACTTGACAAGTTTAACAAATTATCCAGTGGTGTTACATTATTCAATTTATATATATTTTTAAAAGGGTTTGAGTAACATTTGTCAGGTGAGGCACTGGATATAGGTATGCTCATTGGTTTTTCTGTAGAAAACATTCTTTCAAATTTTCCAGTTTGGACACTCATTTCTTGAATAACAGCTTTATCAAGGTAACACACAAATTGTTTTGTTAGGCTAGAAAAATTCAGTGAGAAATTATAAAGTGTATTCCGAGATCTGTTTTCTAGTGTCTGCTTATTAGTTTTCTTCTTTAGTTTATCATCTACAATTGTGTGGTCTGCTTTAAAAGACATGGGGATCTGTATAGCTTTTCTCCGTGCTGTAAGCATAGTTTTTTGGGGTTTGATAAGAGAAACAGATTGATCGCCAATTATAGATTTGAGGATTTCACAATTTTTTTCTAAAACAAAATTTGTTCCTTTACGGTAAATGTTTTCATTTTCTAAAAGATGAGAAGAAAATCTATTTTTTGTTAAAAGTAACATTTGTACATATTCTGTGTCATGGAAAATTATGGGATTTGTGTCCTTTTGTTCCTGTGGATTAAAGAAAAGAGTAATTAGTCATAAGTTCATTGAGTCGGGAACGCTCCATATAATTTAAAGCATGTAAATAAAATCGTAAAATATTCTAAACATGACTACATACAAATATTTAATATGAACAGTAGCATTATTCAAATACATGAAAATACTGTACTTGTACGTAACATATATCCTTTTTATCTTAATATTCCATAGAGATGTTAGTGATAAAACTTCAGCTTTTGGCCTTAAATGTTTTTGAAATAAAGTAGAATAGGAAAAAATAAACATATTGTTAAATGTCTGAGATGCTGGGTGCAGTGGCTCATGCCTGTAATCCCGGCACTTTGGGAAGCCAAGCGGGCGGATCACGAGGTCAGGAGTTCCAGACAAGCCTGGCCAACACAGTGAAACCCCATCTCTACTAAAAAAATACAAAAATTAGCTGACCATGGTGGGTGGCACGCACCTGTAGTCCCAGCTACTCTGGAGACTGAGGCAGGAGAATGGCTGGAAATGGGGAGGCGGAGGTTGCAGTAAGCCGAGATGGCTCCACTGCACTCCAGCCTGGGCAACAGAGCAAGACTCCATCTCAAGAACAACAATAGCAACAAAAATCTGAGGTACTGCCATTGAGAAATAAGGTAGTTGTTCTGGCATTTGTTAGGTTTCCAAATTCTAGAAATTAAAAAGCATGCCAAAAAATTGATTGAGTAAAAGTTCAGAAGAGACATAACTGATGACAGGCCCAAATTACAAATATGGATATCCTAGTAAATAATTTAAAAATTAAAAATTATCTCTACAACAGTTATTATTGCACCCTAATACTTAGCACAATACCTGACACCTAAAAAGTGCTCAATATATATTTGTAGCATAAAATAGCCAAAGTAATAGATTGACTTAAGAATAGATCATTTTTATCACAGTATCAGCCAAGTCTGCTATGATTACTGAAAAAAACGACAAAGATCTAGTTTTGCAGTCCACTGGTGATGCCAGTGTTACCTATTTAGCCACAATAATGGATGTTCGTGATGCTTTTGGTCTGTCCAACACTCAGGGAATTTTCCACTTGACAAGTCTATGCACCCTTACCTAGAGGCAGGAATCATGTTTGTCAGCTTCTTTGTGGATAGGACACAGGCATATGACCTAGGCTCTGCCAATCAGATACACCTGTGAAGTCTTCGGTTCAGAGGAAGCAAGGACTGTGAAAAAGTACTGGGAAAACTATTCTAGTGAGGGTGGTAGGAGTTATATGTAGCTTTGAACGACAGCAGTGACAAATGTTTTAGAATATTCCCTGCTCAACATTGGAGTTGTAAACTGTTATCTGTTACCAGAGGATGGGCCTGAGCGGAGCAGTCTGCGGCTGTATAATTAGGTAATTCCTGATAGACAGCTTTTGAGCCAGGTTGCCTCTCTCGAGACCATGAGTTACTAAATAGCCTTTAATAAATGCACTTTCTGGTTGAGACAGCCAAAACTGGTTGTTAGAAAAATCGACACGTGGTCATGGTCCCATCATTTTTGAACTGGGGTCTTGTTATATTGCCCAGCCTGGATTCAAATGGCTAGGCTCAAGCAATTCCCCTGCCTCAGACTCCAGAGCAGCGGGGACTACAGGTGCACACCATTGTATTCTGCTAGATTGGTACAGTCATTTTAAAAAATCCTTTTTATGCTATAGTTCTATTTTGATCAAGCAAATTTGATAAAGCCTTCTTCATAAAGAAAAGCACTGAATTTTCAGCCGGTATAAAGGAATCCCCCAGTTCTGGGGTTGTGCAAAGAGCGTTAAGAACTTAAGTGCTGTTATCACTTTAGAGTATTAAACCAAAGGATAAGAAGGATTTATCAAAGGTTCTGGTCACTAAAATACATGGGTGATTCCTGTAAGTCATATGACTACACATAGTTACTTAACAATAGATGACATGCTTATTACCGTGTGAGAAGTTACTGTCTTTGTTGGACTAACGTTGATTATCTTGGCATGTGGATTTTTCAATTCATCCTCAAAGCACAACGGGAGCAAGCTTTTCTTTCTTGCTGACCGATACTTACTTAATCGATAATTTCTGACCGATTTGTTTTCTTTTATATTAAAATCATTCATCTGTGGAGACTTTTTTCTGAAAATAAACACAGTTCAGGGAAATGTTTATGGGGTTAATTGCAGCTTGTCAGTTCTTCTCTGCTTCCCCTTATCCCTGGAAGTCACTGACAACTTCTGCACCAACCTCTCTCCCATAGACTTTCAAACTAACAAGACCATCCCTTCCTGCCTAGTTTGTGGGAGAAAACAGCAAAAGTAGGACTGAAAGCAAGAGAGTCATATGTATGCCTCTTTGGTTTTTGAGTGGGGAGGAGTTGTATTGTTTAGACGGAGAAGAACACCAAAGGTAGAGAGGTATTTGCAACATCCTACATTGAAATTCTGGAATAAACTTCACAAGGCAGCTTCATGCCAACATAGGGTGGCCCCAGCTTTGTTAAGAGGATAGAATATTGTGGTCAGGAAGAGACAGGGTATAGTTTTTAAACAGAGTTCAACCTAAAGTGGTTGTTTATTATTGATTCAAAGTTTGAAACACCCTGGATTAGCGACTTTTTTCATTATATAGAGACTGAAGGGTTCATGAGAAAACCGATAACTTTATCCAAAGAAGAGCTACCTTTTCACATCCATGTTGTAGTGTAAGTAAGTGTGTGTATTTACTACAAAAACATAATTGTATTCTCTCTACTCATTTTTTCATGCCTTTCTTTCCATTTGACCATAGTCAAGGTCTGGATGTGATATCTAGTGGCTAGGCAGTCTTGGACCATTCATTGGAGTGTACTATGGAACTAAATGTTAATAACAAAGCAGAATAAATTCATTCTGGCCAATTATAAAATGTGTCCTACTAGAAACATCATCAAACAGACTAAAATATTAAGCATTTAAAAATAAGTTACCTTTTATTTCTATCATCTCTTAAGTGACCAACAGAATCCAATGGTTTTCTAGGCTTTTTTTCAATTTGAGCTGAAATTATAAAAGATTTTCGTAAAAGACACATAGCTATTTAGATAAATATCTTGCACAAAATATTTTACAATTTAAAATAACATATGGAAAGCACCTAGTATAGTGGCTGGTCTGTAGTAGCTACTCAGTAAATATTTCTTGAATGAACAAGATAGATCAAAGCTCCAATATTTGACTAAAACAGATCAAACATAAATGTGGTCTTGTAGATTTTTTGTGGAAGAAAGGCATCCCTGAATTTTCAAATCTCTCTGATATGTGGAGTCATTATTAACCAGTAGGAAGCCTCAGACAGTTAATACTTGGTAAGGAGAGAACACAGTTTGCAGATATCAAACAGATCTTGCCATGTAGCATGAAGTGCCCAAGGTTGATCTCTTCCAAATACGTCTGGGGGCCACTCCAGCATTCTTCTAGACATAAATGCTATTAGAAACAGTTTCAGCTTTTTTATTGTCCTGAAGTAGTTTATATTCTAGTGCAGTACTTCCCAGTCTTTCCCATATAATGGCAAGCATGCTAATTAATATTATGTGTACAGTATACTGAAATAAATGATTGAGTCTGGGCAGGCCACCATAGGGCCAACTGAGCAGCCTTGATGGCCAAGGAATCAATACCTCAGCCTACCTATAACCCCCTCCAAACTACCACAGTACTCTTTGAGAAGCTCTGTTCTAGAGGGTGGAAACTGCCAATAAGTTAACCAGCTGGGCATAGTGGTGTGTCCCTGTAATCCCAGCTACTCAGGAGGCTGAGGTGGGAGGACTGCTTGAGGCCAGGAGTTTGAGGCCAGCTGGGGCAGTATAGTGAGACCTCATCTCAAAAAAAAAAAAAAAAACCAAAAACAAAAAATGAAAAAAAAAACAAGTAAACCAACCAACAAATAAATATATAATATAATTTTGAATACTTTGGAAGTATTTTAAGTATTCAAGTATTATGGAAGAATATAAACATGGTACTTCACCTAGGGTGGCTATAGAAGGCCTCTTTTAAGAAGGGATATTTGAGCTGAAATCTGAACAAAGAGAAAGAGGCAGAGCAAACAGCAAGTGTGGAGGTCTCAGTGTAAAACCAGCGTGGAGTGCTGAAAAACAAAGAGGCCAGTGTTGCTGGGGTGCAGCGAATTAGAAGGAGAGTAGAGTAAGATGGGTTGAAACACGTAGCAGGGAAGTCATCTAGGGTCACATAAACCACGGTGAAGAGTTAAGATATTATTCTGGTTACATAGAGATCCTTAGGAGGGCTTTCAACAGAGCAATAAGGCAGTTGCATTTATGCTTTAGAAAGATCACTTTGCTTGCTCAGAGATGGACCGTCTGGGGAGAAGGGAGAATGTGGTGGCAAGAGCAGCAATGGAGTAACGAATTAGGAGGCTGTTGCTGTTATCCAGATAAACGTTGGTGGATTTGATAAGGATGGTAGCAGCGTAAGTGGTGGGAAAAGGTTGGCTTCAGTGTCTATTGAGAGGGAGATCCGACTTTTTCCCATTTGCAGGAATGGGAAAGGTAAGAGAAAAATAGGTCCACTGACTGAAACAAGGTGCTGGGTTGAGGATCCCTGGCTTGTGAAGGAGAATTAAAATCACTCCTCTCCAATGCCAACTGGCTTACCTGGAACCACACCAGAGATGAATGACTGAATCTGCCATATCCCCAATTATCACCCTGGCAGAGGAATCCAATTAAAAACTCTAAAATCTGGTCTGGCCTGAGGGTCATGAGGTCTGAGTAATGGCAACTACAAAACTTCTGGAAAGGGAAGAGTGATGTATAGTAAGTGGTGAATAAGGGAGAAAGAACCATCCAGAATTCTAAAACATGTGAAAAATATTGCTGAGAGCAATGGCTCACACCTGTAATCCCAGCACTTTGAGAGGCTGAGGTTGGTGAATCACTTGAGGTTGGGAGTTTGAGACCAACCTGGCCAATATGGTAAAACCCCATCTCTACTAAAAATACAGAAATCAGGCCAGGCGCGGTGGCTCAAGCCTGTAATCCCAGCACTTTGGGAGGCCGAGGCGGGTGGATCACGAGGTCGAGAGATCGAGACCATCCTGGTCAACATGGTGAAACCCCGTCTCTACTAAAAATACAAAAAATTAGCTGGGCATGGTGGCGCGTGCCTGTAATGCCAGCTACTCAGGAGGCTGAGGCAGGAGAATTGCCTGAACCCAGGAGGTAGAGGTTGCGGCAAGCCGAGATCGTGCCATTGCACTCCAGCCTGGGTAACAAGAGCGAAACTCCGTCTCAAAAAAAAAAAAAAAAAAAAAAAAAAAATACAGAAATCAGCTGAGCATGGGGGTGAACACCTGTAATCCCAGCTACTCGGGAAAGGATCGCTTGAACCCAGGAGGTGGAGGTCGCAATGAAGAAGGATCATGCCACTGCACCCTAGCCTGGGTTACAGGGTAAGACTCAGTCTCGAAACAATAATAATAATAATATGAAATATATAAATCTAAGAAAGGAAGCCAACAAAACCTACAAGAAGGTAAGTTCAGCAGTACAGTTAAATAGAAGAATCTAAAAATAACTTGAAAGCCTTTGGCATCTTAAGATATACACCTCAATTTTAAGATGTATATTAGCATGTGTCATAGTTTAATTAACAGTGTCAATTGATTACATCTTAGATTTGTTAAAATATGTTTAGACATTTCAAAGGTATAAATAAAAATATCCACATTAGAGAATAAGCTAGTATTCAATAAAAACAAACTGAAATAAAAATAAAAAGAGGTCAAACTTTTAAAAACTGGAAATCTTGGAAGTAAGAAATATAAATCTAGATTACATGGCCAAAGGAGAATTAATGAACTGAAAGAAAATGTTAGGGAATTCACCAAGAATTCAAAGAGACATAAATAAAAAACCTGAAAGAACAGTTCAAAATCATGAAAAACAGACTGCAAGTCTTTGACATTTATCTGATAGCTTTGGAAGAAGAAAATAGAGGAAATGGTGACGAATGTATATTTGAAGAGATAATAACCAATAATTCTAACTGACAGATGTGTATTTCAAGAATTGAAGATGACAGATAGAATGTATCTATATTCAGACACTTTGTACTAAAAATGAGGATCATAAAAAATAAAGAGAAAAATCCAAAAACTACAAGAAAGTTAAAAACAATTTGTCATAAAGGAATGACAATTGGACCGTGAACAGAATTCTAATCTGTGAATGCTTCTGGACAATAATAAAGTTATCGTTAAAGTGCTAAGAAAAAATAACATACATAGTGTAAAAATTTACATCAACACCACTGTCATTCAAGAGTGACAGCAAAATAAAGGCACTTCAGATATACAAGGATCAAAAGAGTTAACAGCCAACAGGTCACCACTGAAAGAATGACTAACACATGCTTTTCAGGAAAAATGTAAGAGAACACAGATGGGGCCGGGTGTGGTGGCTCATGCCTGTAATCCCAGCACTTCGGGAGGCCAAGGCAGGTGGATTACCTGAGGATAGGGTTTCGAGACCAGCCTGACCAATATGGTGAAACCCCATCTCTTCTAAAAATACAAAATTAGCCAGGAATGGTGATGCACACCTGTAATCCCAGCTCCTTGGGAGGCTGAGGCAGGAGAATCGCTTGAACCTGGGAGGTAAAGGTTGCAGTGAGCCGAGATGGTGCCATTGCACTCCAGCCTGGGCAACACGAGCAAAACCCCATCTCAAAAAAAATAAATAAATAAACCATAAATGGCAGGATACAGGAGTCAATGATGAGCACAGAATTTGATAAACTGCTATGTTTTTAATTAGCATCGTCTTTAAAAACTAATAATATTTTGTATTTTAAATGAAATATTATTAATATTTGCTGCACTCATAAAAGCTTTTTTCAGTTAATCTATTGTACTTTTGGTGTTTTAGACTTCTGTAGTGTCCGCCTTTTGTTTTTTTCTTTAACTTTGTTTTACTGAGGTATAATTACATACAACAAAATACACATATTTTAATGTAATGCAGTTTGATAAATGTTGATAAATATATGCACTCATGTAAGTAAAATCAAGATATAAAGTATTTCCATTATTCTCAGGTAGTTTTCCCCTGCCCCTGGCCCCTTTTAGTCAATTCATTTGATTTGTTCTGTTCTTTCCTTCAAACACATTGGTTATCTCAGTGTTGGATACCTGTTTTCTTCCCTCAATATACTGTCTTGTCTAATGTGGTCATATGTTTGTCCCCTTACACTGCATTCTGTATGCTATTCCTAAACCTGCTCTTCAGATTTTGATTCAGTTTACTCCTATGTTTATTCTACTCTTTGCTGTTTTTAATGTAATTTTAAGTTACCTATTGTATTACTTGTTTCTTTAAAAATATTTTTTAGTTCTGGTAGCATCATTTCACCCTTGATGATTATGTTTTACATTTCCAAATCTTATTTCATAGAATTCTGATTTTCTTTAATTCCTTCAGCATATAGAACAATTATTGTTTAAGTTTTTTCCTGGTTTGTGGGGTACAAATTCTGCCAAAATGTGACCATCAGCTATCTTTTAAATACTGACCTCTCTTTGCTACAGAATTTTTTCATAGGTCCCACGCTTTGTTCTTATTTTTCTTTCTGCACAACTTTGAATCAGATCACTTAAATCTGGGCTTATTATTTGTCCAAAAATAATAGGTGTAATTTATTTTGATGCTCTCCCTGTTTACCTGGGTACTGCTAAATTATCTCCTTAGAAATTAACAAGTAAATCCAGATGTTGTTACCTTGTATTATGAGTTCAGGCACTCAGCTACCCGAGTAGCCTGCTAAGGAAGCTGGAGCCTTGGAAAATCATGGAGAAAATTTGTTTCTGGGCACTGTATATTCTGTGAAACCTTTTCATGACCCCAGGGTGGTGGTGGCGGTGGTGGTAGTGATGGGTACTCTGTTCATGTGTGAGGTGTCACTTGGATTTCATTTTTTTACCTCTCTCTTGGCGTACGCAAGTTAGTTTGGTAGTTTGGGAAGGAATTTAGTCAAGTAAAGGCCTCATGGCTCACAAGCTATGTGATGGAATCATGTTTTTTCTTTATACAGTTATCATTGGTCACAATCCAAAAATGGTTACTACAAAATTGTATTTTGTCTCTTCTGTTGTCAACTGTCCTTTCAAGTCCCTTGAAGTTAGGAGGTTTTTACCCTAACTCCGAGTACATTTAAAGCAATAAGAGGAAGCCAGAGAAAAAAGTGACAAGTTACGGCCATTACATTTCTTTCCAAATATTGCTAACCCAGACTGGGAATGCCACTGACTTACAATGAGGAGAGGAATCCCAAGGGGGAATATTTCACATCTTTCTGTGACCTATCATTGATAACAAACTCCTTTTGAGAGAGAGAAAGAAAGAGAGAGAGAGAGAGAGAGAGAGAGAGAGAGAGAGAGAGAGAGAGAGAATGCGTGTGTGTGTGTGATGTAGGTGGTTATAATAGGGGATTTATTTTCAGAATATTCTCTATTGGCTCTTTCAATGGTTAATTCTCTCTCCTAAGAAATGGAATTGTGCACTGACTTCTGGAAGATTCTTTTAAACCGCTTCGTATTATAATATGTGGCAGATTTTCTTTGAGTTAGCGATAAAATATTCTACTTTCAATTTAATAACTTTTTCTTCTCTATTTTCTTTTTTTGGTTATTCATTTTGGTGAGGATGAATTTCTATTTATGTTGACAACTTTCTCAGAAGTCTTACTTTGGGACTTTGATAAAAAGTATAAAATGTTTACTCAAGAACTTTTCTAAAGGGAGATTGCTTTGCTGAACAAATACAGCATCCTGTCACTGCTTTCAGGGAACACTTCAGAGAAGATGTGACATCTGAGTGGCACCTTAAAGGACAATGTGATAAACAGAGGGTTGCCTACTTCACAGTCTTTTTTTACCCTTCTTTACTAAAAGCACTCCAATCTTATCTCCTTCCAAGCAACTATGTCCTTCAAAGAAGGCTGGGGTCTTTCTCAGCTCAAAGGAGTAAATCTTGAATAATCTAAGCTGTGTTTTTCAAAATGTGAGCTACAAACCATTCATATCTTGTGAAATCAATTTAGTGTATCCTGAACAGCATTAAAAAATGAAATATAATAGAGTATAACAGAATGTATTATCTGGATTCTTAGTAATAACTGTTCAAAATACAAAAATACTACAATCAAATTCAACTAACAGAGAGAAAGAGAGATAATTAGGACTCTAGGAAGTTGAATCTTCTCCGTGTGTGTGTGTGTGTGTGTGTGTGTGTGTGTGTAATATAAAAAGTATTTCTTACTGTGGCCATATTAAAAGTTGGAAAAAGTGATCTAAGCCAATGATGATTTATTGGTTTGGATGTGAATGCTTGAGGCTGTTTGAGTCAAAGAGACACAAGGGGTAGTCGGCTTTGGGAAAACTTTTTTTTCATTCTTACAAAGGCATAGAAAGCATTTCTAGTCACACAAGCTATCTTGAATAGTAGTCATCATATTGTACAGCAAAGATAGGAGGACAGGCTACCTGCTAAGATTACTGAGGAAAGACAAAGGAACTGGATATTTTCCCCTCACTGTATTCCTCTATTCAATCTCAGCAGCCACAGTCAGACAGATAGAAAGCACAAGAATATATTTTTTTCCTTTCATCTGTGGTAGAAACCTTAGTAGCGGATAGTAACTACTCCAGGTCTGTCAAGTGATGCATGAAAATGAATATCTGATGACATTATAAAGCCCCTGAATGAGCCAACCCTGCAAATGCCTTTCTGATGGATCTCTTGTTTTTTTAGATAATAAATACCTTTACTATTTAAGCAACAGGCTACTGGATCTTCTTTTGCTTGAGGCTAACATCTCTTAACTATTAAAGATGAACAGGAATCTAGCAGGTGAACACATATGTTTTTAGCACAGACAACAGGCAATGCATCAAATCACACAGTAATTTGGCTAACTAAACAAAACATCCTATTAAGTATGACTAGAATCAGTGTGGTGTGGATAGGTTTAAGAGTAAGAAAGGAAGGCTGGAAAGATCATTATGGTAGTATAATCAAAGACTAATATTCCTTGGTTAAAGATTTTCTTAATGCTTACATCCTAAGTTTAGATGCAGTTAACTTTTAGTTATTCCAATGTAAACATGCAATTTGTATACCTGTAAATAAAGTAGAGTCTTTTTCCTTTTCATGAGTATTAGACTGAACGTTGAATGTAGGAGAAAAGTCTGTAGAACCCAGTGATCTTCTGCATGCTTGTCTATGTTGTGAATACAGAACATTTGAACACCCTGCATTTTCCATCTAAACATTAGGAAAGGTGGAAAATTATCTTAGAAACTATTTCTTTCTATGTGTATATTAATAAATAATTTATGCTTGGGTATTCACATTTGCAATATTGAATTATGATAACTAACAGCTGTCCGGTTCTTTAAATAGTTTCAAATATTACTTAATCCTCAAAAAAACCTACTATGAGATGGGCATTATCAGTAAAACTTTGTCAATAAGAAAACAGACCTTCAGAAGTTAAAAGATCTGCCTATGCTCATACTTTTTACTAACTTCTATTTTGTCTATAAAACTTAATATTCACATAAAATTTATTTCTCCAAGTTCAGGGAAAGTCTAAAGTTCAAATACTGAGAAATAAAGCCTTCTCTGTTTTAACAAACCACTACTCTCTCTAATATAGAGTAGGTACAGCAGATCATTTCTAAGTAGAGAAGAAGAAACTGAAAAACAATGATGTAGCTTTTCCTAGGCTACAGTATCAGATGGGGTCCATATATTTTTAATAAAAATATACGTATCTAGGCATCCAAAATACACATATGCACATGTTAATATAAACTGCATACTTTGTGATTCTCTATTAACAAACCACACAAATAACTGTTTAGAACCCATATTTTTTTCACACTAGGCACAGAATATATTTATTTCTGAATAATATGAAATAAAAATAAGGTATATGAGAAAGCCTAGGCCACAAGTCCTCACATTTTGATGGGATACATAGGATTTGCATACACCAAACAGTAATAAATAACATGGAGTAATAATACTAAAAAGCAACCCAATCAATACACTCTATAAATGAGGAAGGGTTTAAAAAGGGAGAGATATCAATAAAGACTAAAATAGGCAGGAAAGATTTCATAGAGCAGGAAGAAAATGCTAAGATTTAAAAGATGAGGGCATTTCAGGCGAGGTCAACAGCATAAGCCTGGAATGTTCATAAGACAGGCAGAAAAACAGTGTATTTATAACAGGAAAGGATTTATTATTTGTTGGGATTAAAAGGTAAGTTCAAATAGGTAAAAAGAAGAGTTATGAGAAGGATAGGACACAGATGTCTTGAAAGACAAAGCAACTTTATCCTAAAGAAAAATTACCAAAATCGTCATGAGGAATAGAAAATTGGAGCATATCAGCCGGGCGCGGTGGCTCAAGCCTGTAATCCCAGCACTTTGGGAGGCTGAGGCGGGTGGATCACGAGGTCGAGAGATCGAGACCATCCTGGTCAACATGGTGAAACCCCGTCTCTACTAAAGATACAAAAAATTAGCTGGGCATGGTGGCACGAGCCTGTAATCCCAGCTACTCAGGAGGCTGAGGCAGGAGAATTGCCTGAACCCAGGAGGCGGAGGTTGCGGTGAGCCAAGATCGCGCCATTGCACTCCAGCCTGGGTAACAAGAGCGAAACTCCGTCTCAAAAAAAAAAAAAAGAAAGAAAATTGGAGCATATGAATAATCCTTAAAAGAACTGTAAAGAAGTTTCAACTAATTACCTTTAAAATATAGTTTAAAAGGCTAACTAGCCCCAAATAGATTTTCAGATAAGCTATTTTAAGCTTTCATGGAACAAATTATTCTCATGTAATATAATATCAATTTAATTAAAAAATAAACAACTTTTCAGTTCTTTTTGTAGGCTGGCATAGTCTTTAAAACCAAAGCCTGGAAAAATAAAGAAGGCTATAAGCTAATCTTACCTACGACTTCAGGATTTTTCACAAATCTAAAATAAAACACCAATCAATGCTTTACTAGTAGAAGTTTACAACAGCCAAATAAAATCCTCAAGAAATTAAGGGTTTCTATATTTTATCATAATTCATTACCCATAGGTCAAAAAGGAGGAAAATGATGCAATTATTTTTATGGCTGTAATACTGATAAATCTGATAAATTTAACAACTATAATTGATAAGAACTATAATATAACTACATAGAGATAATACTTTCTTAATATGATAAAGAATATTGGCCAGATGAGGTGGCTCATGCCTGTAATCCCAGCACTTTGGGAGGCCGAGCAGGTGGATCATCTGAGGTCAAAAGTTCAAGACCAGTCTGGCCAAGATGGTGAAACCTCATCTCTACTAAAAATACAAAAAAATTAGCCAGGCATGGTGGCATGTGCCTATAATACCAGCTACTCAGGATGCTGAGGCAGAATTGCTGGAATCTCAGAGGCAGAAGTTGCAGCGCACTGGGATCACGCCACTACACACCAGCCTGAGCCACTGAGCGAGACTCTGTCTCAATTAAAAAAAAAAAAAAGAATATTTTAACATAATTTGAAAAATTCTATCTGTGTAAAACTAACAGCCAACATCATCATTAATGGTAATATGTTAGTCTGTGGCATGGCACAAGTAACATCTATCACCACTATAATTTATAAATTTTTAGGGAGTGCCCAGTAATACAACAGGAAAAGATAATAAAAGTAGTAAAGACTGGGGAATTCTGATTCACTATGGCTGAGTAAGCCTTTATCAGACCTATCCTCCTACAGATAAAAACCATAGACTCTAGACAAAATGCTCTAGACAAAATACACACACACACACACGTACACACACACACACACACACACACACCACACACACACACACACACACACACACACACACACACACCACAAATGACTTCAAGATCCTGGAGAATGAGCAAAAGCAGGTGGCAAAGAAAAAGTATTGATACTTGGTATAACTGACTTGCATGGGGCGGAGTTGCTATTTGTGTAGCTTTTAGCTTGAAGGCAGACTCAAGTTGGCACTGCATGGGACACCTAAAATTCTGCTAGAAAATCCATGTTACTTCTGGCCAGAAGAATCAGAAGACAAAGTTAGGGCAAACAAAGTGGCTAGAAAGGGAGAAAGGAATGCTAGAAAGAAGAGAGCCAAAGATGGCAGCTCCGTTTCCTGCATGAGAGACTCCTATGTGTAAGAGACTTCCTGTTCAGGCCTCTGGTTAACCCCTAAACCATGCATGTTTACAAACTCCTGCAAGCAGCCAGTTAAGGATAAAACAACTGAATCAAAATTTGAGCTGCTGCTCACGAGTCATTGTGTATTTTGAGTACAATCAAGATAATTGACTGCTAGAACAAAAGCAGTAATTTTTGTAGGACAACAAGAGAGTGCAGAGTCTTCACAATACAATAGTCACAATGTCCAAGATCAATCCAACTTGATCTAAAAGAACCAAGAAAGTGAGACCTAGTGTTAACATAAAAGATAATCCAACAAGACCATGCCTGAAATGACCCAGACACTGGTATTAATAGATTTTATAGCAGCTTTTATAACTATGCTTGGTGGGTTGGGCACAGTGGCTCATGCCCGTAATTCCAGCACTCTGGGAGGCCAAGGCAGGTGGATCACTTGAGGTCAGTAGTTTGAGACCAGCCTGGTCAATATGCTGAAACCCTGTCTCTACTAAAAATACAAAAAAAAAAAAAAAAAAAAAAAAAATTGGCTGGGAGTTGTGGCACACATCTGTAGTCCCAGCTACTCAGGAGACTGAGGCAGGAGAATTGCTTGAACCCAGGTGGTAAAGGTTACAGTGAGCTGAGATTGGGCCACTGCACTCCAGACTGAGTGACAGAGCAAGACCTGGTCTCAAACAAAACAAAACAAACCCAAAACCTAAAATGCAATAAAAAATAATTAAAAAAACAAAAAAAAAACAACTATGGTTCATGAAAAAAGTAAAATGTATTCAAAATAAAGGAAAAACAAATGGAATCATCAGAGAAACAGAAACTATTAATTATATAATTAAAACATGTAACATCTGAAGTTTAACTGGTTGAGCTTAAAACAAAATGAAAATATCTTAGGGAAGAATCTGAGAACTTAAAGATAGATTAGTAGAAATTACTTAATATGAAAAAATAGAGATTCATGAACCTGTAGGACAATAATGAAAAGTCTGACACACGTTTTTTGTTTTGTTTTGTTTTGTTTTATAAAAAATAAGAGCCTATGAGGAAGACTCTTATCCCCCTTACTTTCTTCGAAACACATCAAATTGCTGAAAGAAAAAATTATAATACTGTCCTGTAGGGTTTATAGTATTACATACAAAAACTATAGTACAAAGGTTTGGGGAAGTAAATGGAACTATGCAGTTTAAAGATTTCTACATCTTTATGTGAAGTCGTATAATTTTACTCTAAGTAGACTGTAAAAAGTTGATGATGTATACTTTAATCTAAACAGAAACCACTAAAAATCCCAAACAAATAAAAAGAGACGTAACTAAAAGCCAACAGATACATAAAGTAAATTTTTTTTTTTTTTTTTTGAGACAGAGTTTCGCTCTTGTTACCCAGGCTGGAATGCAATGGCGAGATCTCGGCTCACCGAAACCTCCGCCTCCTGGGTTCAGGCAATTCTCCTGCCTCAGCCTCCTGAGTAGCTGGGATTACAGGCACGCGCCACCATGCCCAGCTAATTTTTTGTATTTTTAGTAGAGATGGGGTTTCACTATGTTGACCAGGATGGTCTCGATCTCTTGACCGTGTGATCCACCCGCCTCGGCCTCCCAAAGTGCTGGGATTACAGGCTTGGGCCACCACGCCCGGCCCCATAAAGTAAATTTTTGATAAATATTTAAATAATTCAAAGAAAGGCAGGAAAGGAGGAACAGAGGAACAAAAAGCACAGGGACAAACAAACAAAAAAGAACAAAGTGATGGACTTAATTTCACCCATATCAACAATTACATTAAATATTAATGAAATAAACATTTCAATTAAAAGAAATTGTCAGAATAGATTTTTTTTTTTTTTTTAGATGGAGTTTCACTCTTGTTACACAGGCTGGAGTGCAATGGCGCCATCTCGGCTCACCGCAACCTCCGCCTCCTGGGTTCAGGCAATTCTCCTGCCTCAGCCTCCTGAGTAGCTGGGATTACAGGCACATGCCACCATGCCCAGCTAATTTTTATTTTTTGTATTTTTAGTAGAGACAGGGTTTCACCATGTTAACCAGGATGGTCT